GCCGGCGCGGCCGGCCACCCGCTAGCTAGCCAGCGGGACCAGAACCACGGCGGGAGAGTGCACGCACACCTGACCCTGGGCCACATCCAGAGTGAGTGCGGGCGCGCTCCCCACATCGCCTGCAGCCAGACTCACGCCGGGATTAGCCAGGTGTGGCGGAGACCCCAGGGTGCCCGCACACACCACGCCGGGGGTCAAGCGACCCGCCCCATACTAAAGGCGTGCACCACCACCATGCCCAGCTAATTTTTTGCTTTTTTAAAAAAAGATTTTATTTTTATTTTATGTGTATGAACACTTTGTATGTATTAAGTGCACCACATGCATACAACACCTGTGGAGGCAGGAAGAGGGCATCAGATCCCCTGAAACTGGAGTTAAGGATGGTTGTTAGCCTCTACGTGAGCACTGGGAACTGAACCTGAATCCTCTGCAAGAGCATTAAGTGCTCTTAACCACTGAGCCATCTCTCCAGTCCATTTTTGCTTTTTTTTTTTTTTTTTTTTTTTTTAGAGCAAGGGTCTCCCTTTAGCCCCAGCTGGCCTGGAACTCACTATGTAGGCCAGGCTGGCTTTGAACTCACAGAGATCCGCCTGCCTCTGCCTCCCGAGTGCTGGGATTAAAGGCGTGAGCCACCACGCCCAGCCTTTGGCTTTATTTTTTGATTCAGAGTCTCACTATGTAACCCAGGAAGACCTGAGCTCCCCATCCTCCTGCCTTGGAGTCTCTAGAGCTGGATTTCCAGGTGTTTGCCACCACACCCAGCTCCAGTGTTTAGTCTCTTAACTGTACAGTACTCCACGGCCAAAGAAGTTCCAGTTTTGGAGGGTGACCAGAAAAGACTTCATCTTGATGAACTGCCTCTCTCCACTTAGCCTACTTCATGTCTTTTCTTGGCACTTAGCATGTGTTTGTAACACCTTTCATACCCATTAGCAGAACTGGAAAATTAAGGTCCTGGCTCAGGCTGGACCACTGATCTTCCATGTACCTTCAGCCCCCAGCCCTCTCTGGTTTTCCCATCTAGAAAACAAGAGGTTGAAACATGCTAGAATTCCCCCACACCCCACAAGTCCCTAAACCTACCAGGCTGAGGGGAGGCAGCAGAAAGTTTTCTGGTTCTAGGCTGGGCGACCGTTTGGGGGGTTTCAATCCCAGAAGCTCAACCCCCTTTTCCTTTGAGCTCTGGGCCAGGGCCCTGTAGAAAAACAGACAAGTCTCTCAGAACACAGCAAACTGGGCAAGTGTAGGCACCTGTATCAGTGATGCTCTCCCCACACAGCTGCTTATTCTTTTACTTACAAGCCTACCAACCCACCCATCCACCCATCAACCATCCATCCATCCATCCATCCGTCTATCCATCCAACATCCATCTACTGACGTTTCCATACCCATCCATTCACCCACCCACTTATCCATTCATCTACCTACCCACTCACCATCTATCTATCCAATCTATCCATTCATCTATTGATATTTCCATCTACCCATCAATCCATTCACCTACCTACCCACCTATCTATCCACCCATCTATCCACCCATCCATTGATCTTTCCATTCACCAATCCACCCACCCACCCACCCATCCATCTTCATATTGGTCCATCTGTCCATCCATCTATCTATCCATCCATTCACCCACCTCCTCACAGTACTCGTTGATTCCCTATCTCCTTTGTTTAAGAAGGCTTTATTAGGCACCCACTGTTTAACCATCCCCAAGATGGGAGCCTTGGGAGGTGCCACCATATATCCATAAAGCCTCATAAGGATAGAAAAGAGATTTCTCTAGAGGCTAAACGGGCACATGACTGCTAGCTAAAGCAAAAAGTTGAGTACAAGGACTCTAAAACCTTTGAAAGGGAGACAAGGATGCTTTGAAATTACATGTAAAGCCATATGCGTGAATAGGGTGTGGCAATGCATGCCTATAATCCCAGCAGAGGAAAGACTCCTGTAAGTTTGAGGCCAGCCTGGGCTATATGCTAATAACAAGACTCTGTATCAAACAGACAAAAATTGTACACGTGCGAATTTTCTCAGACAATTCCCTATCTTTGCACAGGTTCTCAGAGGTCATAGGAAACTTAGTTCTAAGACAGTGTCTTAGACATCGTGGCACTTTCTTCTCAACTTTTTTTTTTTTTTGGCTAACAGGGTCTCACTATGTAGCCCTGGCTGGCCTGAACTCACTATGTAGACCAAATTGGCCTTGAAGTCTCAGAGATCCACCTGCCTGTACCTCCCAAGTGCTGGGACTAAAGGCATGTACCACCACACCCAGCTTCTTTTGAACTTTTATTTTATTTTATTTTGTTGCTACAGATAGAACCTGGAGCTTTGCACTTCCTAGGCAAGTGCCCCACTGCTGAGCCACACCCCAGCCCCTCACTGGGGGATTCTAGGCAGGTGCTCTACCATCGAGCCACACCCCAGCCCCTCACTGGGGGATTCTAGGCAGGTGCTCTACCATCGAGCCACACCCCAGCCCCTCACTGGGGGATTCTAGGCAGGTGCTCTACCATCGAGCCACACCCCAGCCCCTCACTGGGGGATTCTAGGCAGGTGCTCTACCATCGAGCCACACCCCAGCCCCTCACTGGGGGATTCTAGGCAGGTGCTCTACCATCGAGCCACACCCCAGCCCCTCACTGGGGGATTCTAGGCAGGTGCTCTACCATCGAGCCACACCCCAGCCCCTCACTGGGGGATTCTAGGCAGGTGCTCTACCATCGAGCCACACCCCAGCCCCTCACTGGGGGATTCTAGGCAGGTGCTCTACCATCGAGCCACACCCCAGCCCCTCACTGGGGGATTCTAGGCAGGTGCTCTACCATCGAGCCACACCCCAGCCCCTCACTGGGGGATTCTAGGCAGGTGCTCTACCATCGAGCCACACCCCAGCCCCTCACTGGGGGATTCTAGGCAGGTGCTCTACCATCGAGCCACACCCCAGCCCCTCACTGGGGGATTCTAGGCAGGTGCTTTATCACTGAGCTACACCCCCAGCCCCTCACTGGGGGATTCTTGGCAAGTGCTTTACTGATGAGCTATATCTCAGTCTCAATTTCTTCTTAACTATCACAAAAACTGTCACTAAGTCAGATGTAATTATGTCCCAAGGAGTGATCCTTGGATAAACAGTGAGACAGCTAGGGCAGAGCTACAGAGGCTGGAACAAACTTGGCATGTGTTGGGCAGGGACATGGAGGGCCTGGCTGGAGAGGGGGTTGTGGAGGGAGAGAAATCATCATAAAAGGTGGGACTGATATAGGAGGGTGAGTAAGGACCTTCTTTATGTCCGGGTTGCATTCCTCTTTCACTGTGGCTCACCTCTTCCGAGTTCCAGACATGGAGGAGGTTGTGGAGGGCTTCCCCCTGGAAGGGCTGGAGGAGCTCAGTCGGGGGTCACTCCCCCAGCGGGGCAGTAAGGAGGGTTCAGGGCTTGGGGGTGACAGGCCGTGGAAGCTCCGAGCACGGGGTCGGCGGGCTGTCCCTGGAAGTCTGTGGCGGTAGGCCCTAGGCAGCTGCTCACTGGAGTTGAGCTGGAAGTCATCGTCCATGGAGATGTAGGGAGCTAGCATCTCTAAGTCCAGAGTATCAGCCTCCTACAAAGAGCAGGAAGGAGTTAGCAACAAGCGATGTCAACACCTCTGAGATGTTTGCCTGGGATCTGAACTTTTCTTGCCCTGTCATGAAAATGAGTATAAGGACTTTGTGGTAATCAGTACCCAAAGATGCTTCAATGATTTTCCTTGGGTACAGTCCCTTCCACAAAGACCAGGGCGGCCTGGGTACAAAAGGACACTACTCTGCACGACATTCACTTGTAGCTGTGAAACGCATGAGAACGACCATTTGTGATGCTGTCTCTGTGTGTCTCACTCTGTGGACCCCGGTTTTTCTGTTTTTGTGTCTCTCTCTCCTCTGTATCTCTCTCTGTGTCTCTATGTCTTTCTGTCTGTCTGTCTCTCCATCATCTTTGTCTCTGACTCTCTCTGTTTCTGTCTCTCTTTCTTTGTCTTGTCTCTCTCCCCTGCCTGTTGCTCTCTGTGTGTCTGTCTCCATGTCTCTGTTTCAGCTCTTTGTCTCCTGAATGTCTCTGTGCCTCTCTTTCTGTGTCCTTGTCTTTCCCTCCATCCTTAACTGTCTCTGTCATTTTCTCTGTTTCCTTCTCTCTTCCCTCTGTGATTCTGTCTCCCCACCGCCCCCTAGCCAATGAAAACAATGGTCCACCTATCAAAGCACCCATCAGTCTATCCACCCAAGCATCCCTTCATGCATCCGTCAGTCTACCCATCCAAGCATCCCTTCATTCACCTGTCAGTCTACCCATCCAAGCATCCCTTCATGCATCCATCGGTCTACCCATCCAAGCATTCATCCATCCAAGTATCCATCCTTTCATCCAGTAATTTTCCTTAAATATCATCTATCATCCATCCAGATCATTTACATAATGAATGCAATGGCTCATCCATCCATCCCACCACCCTTCTCCAAATCCAATCCCTAGAGCACCAACTACCCTTTCCATGCCAGGCCTCACCTGGGGTGTATCTAGATCGGTTTCCACAGCCTTGCGGTTTTTCCGGGCACTGGAGAGCCTGTGTGCATTCTCCATGCCTACCAGCAACTGATCTGGGAGATCAGCCTGTGAGAAGACAAAGCAGAGATGCCAGAGACTGTGAGGATATGTCAGCCATAAAAGCTCAGGGTGCAGGTGGGGGTCAAATGTCAGACAGTTGGAGCTGGAAAGGGGCCCCAGAGCAAATAAAAATGAGTTTTTGTTTATTTGTTTGCTTATTTTTGTTTTGAGACAGGGACCCATGTAGCCCAGGTTGGCACTGAATTCAAGATGTAGCTGTATGATCACTTATATAATGAATGCAATGGCTCATCCATCCATCCCACCGCCCTTCTCCAAAGCTAGATAATCCAATCCCCAGAGCACTGACTACCCTTTTCATGCCAGGGAAAGATAAGATGACTTTGAACTTATGATTCTCCTGCCCCCAGCTCCCAAATGCTGGGATTACAGGTCTATACCACCATGCTTAGTTTTAATATTTTTATTTGTTTGATTATTTTTTGAGACAGGGTCTGTGATGGTCAGCTTTAATTATCAACAACACAACCTAGAGTCACCTGGGAAGAGTCTCAGTGAAGAACTGTTTACGTTGGGTTGGCCTGTGAGAATGTCTGTAGGGGACCGTCTTAATTAATTGATGTGGGAAGACCCAGGCACACTGTGGGTGGCATCATTCCCTGGGAAGGGGTCCTGAACTGTGTAAGAGTGGATAGATAGAGATAAGCACAAGTAAGTAAGGGGCTGCATGCATTTATTTTTCTCTGCTCTTGACTGGATATGAGGTGGCCAGTTGTGATTTCCCAAGAGGGATAGATTAAAACCTGGAAGCTAAAATAAGTAATTTCTCCTCTAAGTTGCTTTCTGTTGGGATATGTGTATCTGTGTGTGCGTGTGTGTGTGTGTGTATATATATTTAATTATGTGGAGGGGGTGGGGTATGTGCATGTGTGAGTGCAGGTGTCCGTGGAGTCCAGAGGAGGGCACTGGATCCCCTGGAACTGGAGTTACAGATGGTTGTAAGCCTCTGGATGTGGGTGCTGGGAACTGAATCGGGTCCTCTGCCAGAACAACAAATGGCCTTAACTGCTGAGTCATCTCTCCAGGCCCCTTTGTCAGGATCTTTTATCACAACAACAGAAATGAAACTATAACAGGGTCTCATACCCAGGCTGGCCTGGAACTCAACTCATATAGCTGAGGCTGACCTTGAGCTCTTCCTGCTTCAGCCTCCTGAGTGTCAAGATAACAGATGTGCACCTCCAAGCATTGGATCTTTGATTTATGTGTATGTGGTCTAGGGTCTGAGACAAGGTCTTGATGTGTAGCCCAGGCTGGCCTTAAATTCAATCCTCCTGCCTCAGTTTCCCAAGTGCTGGGATCACAAGTGTGTGCTACCACACCTAGCTTGAAATCTAGGTTTTTAAATTTTTATTTATTTATTTTATTTTTTAATGTTTTATTATTTTTATTTTATGTATATGAGTGCTATGTCTGCATGTAGGTAAGTGCACCCGTGTCATGCAATGCCCGTGGAGGACAGAAGAGGCTGTCCGATCCCCTGGAACAGGAGTTACAGACAGTTGTTAGCTGCCATGTGGATACTGGGATTCGAACCCAGGTTTTCTGCAAGAACAGTTATTGTTCTTAACTGCTGAGTCATCTCTCCAGCCCCTATTTATTTTATGTGTATGTAAACATGTATGTAAGTGCACCCATGCATGCAATGTTCACAGAGGCCAGAAGAGGGCATTAGATTCCCTGGAACCGGAGTTGTGGACAGTTGTAAGCTGCCATGTGGGTTCTGGGAACTAAACCCAGCTCCCCTGGAAGAGCAGCCAGTGCTCTTAATTGCTGAGCCATCTCTCTCGCCCCTGAAATCTGGGTCTTTTTTATTTTTTGTTTCATTTTGTTTTGTTTTTGTTTTTTGAGACAGGGTCTCCCTGTAGCACAGCTGGCCTAGAACTTGCTATGTAGACCAGACTGGCCTGAGTTTCACAGAGATTAGCTTCTGCCTCCCAAATTCTGGGATTAAAGACGTACACCATTTCCAGCTGAACACTTAGGTCTTAAAGGAACCCCATCTCATCCCTCAGATGGAGAAACTGAGGCTCAAAAAGCAGCAAGGCTTCAGCCAGAGGTCCAAACAGCACAGGCTCTGGGGGTCAGTGAAGTGAGACTGTTTACCGGAAGAGGACTTTGGGGTCGCCGTGCAGCCTGTGGGGTGCTGGGGGTGGCAGCTACTGGAGGCCCATCCAGGATGGGTGCCATGAGGTGGCGCAGATCTGGGCTACAGAAACGGCGAGGGTCAGCAGCCAGGGTAGCCTCATTCAGGGCTGGCGGGTGCAGGAAAGCCAAGATCCGGGAACCAGGAGGGTCTGCAGGATGGATAGGACACAAAATGGTCACAGAGAGTGGAGGGCCAGACCCTGCCCTGCCGCATCAAGCCCAGGGAATGATATCTTCAATGACACATCAGGGTGGCTAATGTCCTCACTTGCTGGGAAGAAGGGGCTGAGGCCTCTTGTACTGGCCATTTCAGTGGCCAGGGTGCTGGGAGGCCCTGGAGGGTCCTTGGGGAAGAACCCAGTGGCCCCAAACAGCATTTGAACACTCAGCTCTTATGTGTTAGGACTGGCCTGAGACCCCCAAGGAGGAGGTCTTAAGATCCCTGAAGGTCAACAGTCAGCTCTGAACCAGAGAAAGGAAAACATTAACCCTTTCACCTCACACCCAGGGGCACTGGCTGCTGACAACAGTGGGGGAAAAAGTGAGTCCCTTGAAGTACAAACAAGGAAGGTAGCTCATTTTGGGTGTGGAAGAGAAAGAAAAGGCTGAGTAGAGCCAGGAGGTTCAAGATTACTAGAAATCGAGGACTTGGGTTCAATTTCCAGCACCCACACGGTGGGTAACAACCATCTTTAGCTCCAGTTCTAGGGGACCTGATGCCATCTTCTGACCTCTTCGGGCATTGCATGACATGGGTGCACTTACACACATGCAGGCAATACACGCATACACATAAAATAAAAATAATAAAATATTTTTTAAAAGATTACTAGAAATCAAAGGGTGGGGATGTAGAAGTGTGGATAATAGGGAGTCATTCTAAGATTCAGAGCAGAAGGTGACCAGAGACTGAAGCAATCCCCTTGCACTCATGGGCATGAGGGAGCACTAGAGGAAAAAGCATTCTGAGTAGAGGCAATAGCATGTGCAAAGGCACTGAAAGAGAACATTGTGCCTGTCCTAAGAGCTTTAGGGAGAGCCAGCGTGGTTTGGCGGGTGTCTGACAAGGGCAGAGAGCAGCAGGCAGGTCCCATAGGGTCTGGTGAGTCATATGAAGGGTCTTTCTTGAGCTTTCTTCCAAGAGTCCTGGGGACACAATGGTCTTGTTCCTTACCGAGACTGCTACCAGGGGAATCCTTCTGCCAGGAGGTGCCCCGTGGAGGGGGTCTGCGAGAATGTCGCTCTGTTTGTTCCAGGGACAGCACCACTCCAGTCTCTTCTACCCGGCTGGGGAATAAGGCAGGAAGGAAAGTGGGCATCAGAGGGTCCTCAGCGGCCCCCTTGGGCAACTGCTTCCAATGTTGTCACTACTGAGGCCGTCCCACATCCCACCCAGGAGCTGAAGGGCATCTGTCAGAAGATAATTTCTCACACTGGTTTCTTACCAGGATTTTTGTTTGTTTTGATGTAAATCTCACATAGCCTAGGCTGGTCTCAAACTCACTATGTAGCAAAGGATGACCTTGAATTTCGTTCTGTTTTTGTTTTTGTTTTTGTTTTTTGTCTTTTTGAGACAGGGTCTCCCCGTAGCCCCAGCTGGCCTGGAACTCGATACATAGACCAGGCTGACTTCGAACTCCCAGAGATCTGCCTGCCTCTGCCTCCCAAGTGCTGGGATTACAGGCATATGCCACCACATGCCTGGTTTATATTGTGCTGGGGATCGAACCCAGGACTTCATGCATGCTAGGAAAGTATCAACTGAGCTACATGTACCCTAGCCCTCAGAAATGCTTTCAGTCCCAAGCATTTAGGATATGGGATACTCAACTATTATTATTTATGGATTGCTTTGGCTTTTTTTGTTTGTTTGCATGCTGGGAATTGAACCCAGTATGTAAGACCCTGTTTCAGAAAGACTTAAAAGAAAAAAAAAGCCTAAAAAAAGTATATTCTTTATTACATTTCCAAATATGAGAAATTCATAGAGCTATATTTCAGTGAACAAGCATTTATTTAGGAAGTTTCTATTCATAGCCATTTTCATCCTCAAGGGAACAGGTTTATAAATATATCCTTATGGCCCCCACACCTCCCATCCCACAGTCTCTAGCTGTAGAGACAACCCAAATGCTGGCTGGGTAAAGTGACTTTGAGCGGGTGGTGTAGGGTTGAGAACCATGCATTCATTTGCGTCTCATTAACATCAGCATCCTAGAGGGCAGAATGTGGGGGTGGGGGGTGAGGGTGGGGTCTGATGTTCCCAACAGTTTTTTGAGAAGTTATGACTCCTTAACCTCACTAAACTTGTCTGCAGACATCCCAATTTAGACTGAACCACAGCTACCCTTATCCCTTTGAAAGACACATAATTGCAGACACACACTTGGTACACACAGGCACAGACACAGAAGAATGCTTGTATACATGCAAGTATGTAGAAAAAGAACATGCACAGAACCTCCATGCACTTGGTGTCCTATATATGCACACAGGCCACACGGAGCTCACTCATTTGTTCCTTTCACAAACACCTCTCAGATAAGCTTTACTACATAGAGGTTGACAGCAAAGAATCAGCAGCCAGTAGCTTGGGTTCAAATCCCAGCTTGGCCCTTTTGAGCTGTGTGACCTTAAACTTGTAGCCGAATCTCTCTGGACAGGTGGATTATAGACAAGTCCTCTACCACTGAACAACACCCCCAGCCCCTCACTGGGAGATTCTAGGCAGATGCTCCACCACTGAGCCTCATTCCCATCCCTTCACTGGGGGATTCTAGGCAGGTGCTCCACTCCAAATTTTACCACTGCAACCTATTTGAATTACTAAAATTAAAACAAAAATATGGGCTGGAGAGATGGCTCAGTGGTTAAGAGCACTTGCTGCTCTTGAAGAGGGCCCAGGTTCAGTTCCCAGCACCTACATAGCAGCTAACAACTTCTGGAATTCCAGTTCCAGGGAAAACAATGCCTTCTTCTGGCCTTGGTATGCACTGCATGCATGTGGTGCATTTACATACATCTAGGCAAAACACTCAGATACAATCAATAATATTTTAAAAACACAAAAATAATACATAGTAAATGACATGTTGGCAAGTCTGTGAACAACCTGGATTCTCACACGCTGCTGATGGGAATGCAAATGGTGCACTCACTGTGGAGAGCAGTTTGGCAGCTCCTTTGAAGGATAAATATACACTGAACCATATGACCCATGCAGTCTACTCCTAGATGTTTACCCAAGAGAAATGAAAACGTGTGCTCTCACAAAATCCTGCATGAGAATGATTACAGTAACTATTTGCATTATCCCCAAAATAGGAAACAGCCCAAAGTCTTCCAGCTGGTACATGGCTAAATAAACTTCAGTCCATTCATATTACAATGAACACTAGTCAGCAGTAAAAAGCAGCTATTGGGCTGGGCCTGGTGGGTCACACTTGTAACTCCAGGACCAGGGAGAATGAGGCAGGAGGACTGTCGTGACTTTAAGGGCAGCCTGGTCTATGTGATTTCCAGGCTAGCATGGGATTCAGAGATGAGATCCTGTCTCGAAAAAAGCAAGGGACCAATGAGCTGGTTCAGCAAGTATAGAGCTTGCCATACAAGCCTGGAGATGTGAGTTCAAACCCCAGGTCACATGGAAAGCCAGAAGGAGAGAACTGACTCCACAAAATTGTCCTCTGACCTCCATACATGTGCTGTGGCATACAGGCACATACATATACATACAATAATAATAATAATAAATAATAAAATAAAAAATTTAAAGGATGGAGCTGGAGAGACGGCTCAGTAGTTAAGAGCACTTACTGCTCTTGCAGAGGATCCAGGTTCAGTTCCCAGCACCCACATCAAGCAACTCACAACCTCCTGTAACTTCAATTCCAGGGGATTCAATACCCTCTTCTGGCCTCCAAGGGTACCAGGCACACAGGTGGTACACAAACATACATGTAGGCAAGCATTCATATGTGAAATAAAAATGAACTTTTTAAGCCAAAAAGAGAACCCATGATTCCATTACATTTCTTATGTTAAATATAGAGCCTCTCCCTCACTGTTTTATTTATTTATTTACAAGATAGGGTCTCAACTATGTAGCCCTGACTGGCCTAGAACTCATAGAGATCTGCCTGCCTCAGTCTCCTGAGTCCTAAGGGCTGAGATTAAAGGTATGTGCCACTATGCCTAGATACTTTTGTTTTTGTTTTTTTAAGTATATTCATGTTTTTAGTATATTAATGTTTTGTCTGCATATATGCAAGTGCATCATGTGCATGCAATGCCTTCAAAGGCCAGAAGATCGTGTTGGATCCCCTGGAACTGGAAATATGGCAGTTGTTAACCACCATATAGATGCTGGGAAATGAACCCAGGTTCTCTGCAAGAGCAGCGAGTGTTCTTAACTGCTGAGCCGTCTCTCCAGGCCCCTATTTTAGTTTTTTGAGACAGGGCTTCACTATGTAGTCCAGGCTGGCCTTGAACTCATAATCCTCCTCTGTCAACCTCCACAGTTCACAGTCCTGCCTGTCTATGTATCATTTTCAGTTTAAATGATCAGTACAAGCCTGGCATGGTGTGATGTGCCAGTAATTACAGCACTTGAGAGGTAGAGGCAGGAGGATCAGGAGTTCAAGGTCATCCTTGGAGGCAAAGGGAGTTTGAGGCCAGCCTGGACCGCATGAGACCTTGTCTCAAAAAACCAACAATGTCTAGGTGTGGTAATGCATGCTTTTGATGCCAGTACTTGGGAGGCAGAGGCAGGTGGAGCTCTGAGTTTGAGGCCAGCCTGGTCTATATAGTGTTACAGGCCAGCCAGGACTGTATGGTAAGGCCCTATCTCCCAAATAAATTAGCAAAAAATTCTTCCACAACAGTATACACATGTGCACACACATACATATGTAGACACACATGTGCATTCACATGGCCACATGTGTTCCACATATAGGTGTGTGTACATAGTTCTCCAAACAACAATACACATGTATGCCTGTGCACAACACACACGCACGCGCACGCACACACACACACACACACACACACACACATACACACACACACAGACTAGCCGCATGCATAAAGTCACTTAAACATCCCTCACCTGATCAGGAAGTGGACACAGATGATACTCTCTGAATGCGGGCCCCGGCCTCCTGATACCACTGTGGCCTGGGTCTGGGTCCACAGGTAGCCTCCGGTCCGGGCCAGGAAGCGATACTGCCCGGTTACTGCCTGGCCCTTGCTCAATACTGGGGAGAGGGGAGGGTAAGGATCAGGGCCACAGCAGGAGTACCTGGGGACAGAAGGCTCTGGGGGCCAGAATTAGGTGCCAAGTGGCACAGAAGGAGAAAAATTCTTTGGATTGTGCAAAGGCCGAGGGGTTAAGGGATCAGAGGAAAGCAGGAGTCCCACAAAGCCCTGAGCCTTCTCTTGAGGAGACTGAGGATGGAGAGTTGGGGCTGCTGTCTGCTGGGGCCACAGGGCAGCTGGCTCCAGTCTGGGACATAGTGGTCACATACAAGTGTGGATACTCCTGCTGACTGCATCCGAGTCCAGCACGTGGATGTACTCATAGGCGGAACAGCCAATCAGGTCATCAGGGCTGTAGCCAGCAACCTCTGCGATCCTGGGGTGAGACAGAGGCGGATTGATCAAGGTCCAGATAGACAGAAGGGGTAGGGGTCACAGACAACGCCAGCAAGATGAGAGACAGGGTAGTGGCAGAATGAAAGTGGTGTGGGAAGGAATAAACAGGAAAGGCATGCTGGCTCACAACCTCTAATCAGCTCTCAGTAGGATGAAGTATTGTGAATTTGAAGTATTGTGAGTTTGAAGCCTGGAATACAGCAAAGTCGTATAAAAATAAAAACAAGGACTAGGGGCATGGCTCAGTGGCAGAGCAACTGCTTTGAATCCCCCAGTGAGGGGCTGGGGGCATGGCTCAGTGGCAGAGCACCTGCCTAGAATCCCCCAGTGAGGGGTTGGGGGCGTGGCTCAGTGGCAGACGACCTGCCTAGAATCCCCCAGTGCGGGGTTTGGGGCGTGGCTCAGTGGCAGACGACCTGCCTAGAATCCCCCAGTGCGGGGTTTGGGGCGTGGCTCAGTGGCAGACGACCTGCCTAGAATCCCCCAGTGCGGGGTTTGGGGCGTGGCTCAGTGGCAGACGACCTGCCTAGAATCCCCCAGTGCGGGGTTTGGGGCGTGGCTCAGTGGCAGACGACCTGCCTAGAATCCCCCAGTGCGGGGTTTGGGGCGTGGCTCAGTGGCAGACGACCTGCCTAGAATCCCCCAGTGCGGGGTTTGGGGCGTGGCTCAGTGGCAGACGACCTGCCTAGAATCCCCCAGTGAGGGGTTTGGGGCGTGGCTCAGTGGTAGAGCACCTGCCTAGAATCCCCCAGTGAGGGGTTTGGGGCATGGCTTAGTGGCAGAGCACCTGCCCAGCATGTGCAAAGCCTTGGATTTCCTCCTTAACACCACAAAAATAAATAAGGAAATAAATAAATGAATGGAAAAAAATTAATATGGGGTGGGGAGAGGGTGGAAAAATGCAGAGAAAAGAAAGAACATATGTGAAAACAGGAGCAATACATCATGAAAAGAAGGAAGAGAAAGAATGATCATCAAAGGTACAGACTGAAAGTGAGACACTTCACTGTGCTCTGCCCTGGGCAATGCAAGGAGTACAGAGAACAATTAACGGGGGCTGTCGACCCACATGACAGTTGAGGAAACTGAGACAAGGAGAGGTTAAGTAGCTTGGCCAATGACACACAGCAGGATGGAAACCCATGAAATCTGAACCTCGAGTCAACTGCTTCTTAGCATGTAGCTCAGCGGGTACAGCACTTGCCTAGCACACACAGGCCTTGGTTTCCATCCCCAGCACTGCAGAAAACCTGACATGGCGGTACCCACCTGTAATCCCAGTACTCAGGAGGTGGAGGCAGGAGGATCAGAAGTTCAAGGCCATCCTTGGCAATATAGAGTTTAAAGCAGGTATGTGCTATGTGAGACCATCTCAAATGTTGGAGGAGGGGGAAGAGGAGGAAGATGAGGAGGAGGAAGAGGTAGAGGTAGAAGCAACAGAAGCAGCTACAGAAAGACACAGAGGGGGGTGAGAATGGGGGGGGAGAGAGAGAGAGAGAGAGAGAGAGAGAGAGAGAGAGAGAGAGAGTGTGGGCAGAAAGAGTGAGAGTGGGCAGAAAGTATGAGAGGGAGATGGTGATCACCCACCTCTCATCACAGTATGTGAACTTCATGTCCAGGCTGTGGCGGCTGAGAAAGGCTCCCCTTCCCAGAGGGGGCTCCAGACTGGCAGGATGGGGGATGGCTTCACAGATGAGCACCAGACATTGTAGGGGAGGCTCTGGACAAGGGCTTCCCTCAGGGGATGTCTGTGCAGGGGGCTTATAGGCCCTCAAATGTCCAGAGCACCGCAGCACCTTTGGGTGAAGTGGGGATGTGTGAGCAAGCATCTTGTCATATGGCTACCAAGGGGCTGGCAGGCCTGTGTCTGAGCCCCATATGGGACTGGGGAGAAAAGATCACTGGTGACTTTAGAAAGTCAATATGGGGAGCTTTGAGGACCTTCATTCTAACCTCAGGAAACTTGGAGACTCCAAGCTCAGGGGGCTGAGGATGCCCCCAACCCCTGGCTCAGGGACATTCAACCTCCTAGATGCCCTATGATCATATTAGATCCAGTGTGAAGGAGCTCCATGGGCTTCTGAGCCAGGGAGACAGAACTCCAACAAAAAATGAGATTTAGGGGACCAGGCCCACCCTAGCAGGCCCCACCCACCAAGTCAGGCCCTGCCCACCTTCCATGTGGCAGCTTTGAGGTTGAGTGTTCGCCCCCTGCTGGTGAGTGTGCTCTTCATGCGCAAGGAAAAGTGGCGTTCTGTTGGGGCCTCCAGCTTCTTCTTGGACAGGCCTGGGGGTGGGTACCAAGAGGGTCCAGGTCACTAAGCTGGCCTCCCTAGCCTCAGAGATGGCTCAACAGTTAAGAGTATATACTACTCTCACAGAAGATCTGAGTTCGGATCCCAGTACCCACATGAGGCAGCTCACAACTACCTGTAACTCCACCTCCAGGGATCCAATGCCCTCTTTTGGCCTCTGAGGGTACTGCACTCACATGCATATACACATATATAAACATAATAAAATATTAATAAAATCTTAAAATCTCTCCGGTCTTATTCCCAAAGTTGATACCTGGAACCGAGGACTGGGAACCCCTCCCCCCAGCAGGGCAGAGACATCTGTCCCTTCAGTTTTCTCTATTCAAGTGTTCTGGGAATTGGGGTGGGAGGATATGCCTCAATTTCCTATCCTGTAAGGTAGGGTCAGAACTTGAAGGGCACTCACTTGGCCTAGGTGTCAGTGCATCCTGGAGTTCTTCTTGATCGCAGGGATGGATGAAATCAAAGATATTGTGTCCGATGAGTTCCAGCTGCAAGGGAGGGATACCGTGTGCAGTGGAGGGAAGACATGCTTAGCAGAAGCCCTGGCCTGGCTCCTCCTTCCTCTCATTATTCCTGCCCCAATTCATGAGTCTGGATGACTTCACCAGTCTCCTCATTCATTGATTCATTCATTCATCCATCCATCCATTCATTCAGCAACCATTTATGCAGCACCTAACTATACCAGGATCCCTTCTAGATGACTGGGACAGTTCACAGATGGATTGCAGCTTTTCAGAGCTTACTGAATGATGTATGTGGCTGTGTGTGGCAGCTAGGTATGGTCACATGATGAGGCAGTGGCCAAAGTGATATTTTAGAGAAATGTTGGGCTGGAGATGTGACTGAGATGGTAGAGTGCTTGTCTACTGTGTCCCAGGTCCTGGGTTCAATACCAGACATGGCATAAAGGGTGAGTGTCTTTATCCCAAAAACAGGGAGGCAAAGGCAGGAGGAGCAGAAGTTCAAGGTCATCCTTGGCTACATAGTGAGCTTGAGGCCAGCCTGGGCTACATGGGACCCAATCTCAAAAGAAAAAAAAAAAGTTCAACAAAGGAAGTGAGGTGACTTTGTGGCACCTTAGAGTAACAACATTCTAGAGTCACATAGAGATTGGTGGTGTATACCTTTAATCCCAGAACTCAGGAGGCAGAGGCAGGTGAATCTCTGTGAGTTCGAGGCCAGTCTGGTCTACATAGTGAGTTCCAGGTCATCCAGAACTACAATGTGAGACACTGTCAAAAAAAATTTAAAAAGACGGCCAAGCATGGTGGCACAGGCCTTTAATCCCAGCACTTGGGAGGCAGGGGCAAGTGGATCTCTGTGAGTTCCAAGCCAGCCTGGTCTGCATAGCAAGTTCCAGGCCAGCTGGGGCTACAGGGAGACCCTGTCTCAAAAAGACAAAAAAAAAAAAATTTAAAAGAGGGATGGAGTGATGGCTCAGTGGTTAAGAACACCTACTGTTCTTGCAGAAGACCCAGGTTCGAATCCCAGCACCAACATGGCAGCTAACAACTGTTCATAACTCCAGTTCCAGGGGATCCGACAGCCTCTTCTGTCCTCCGCAGGCATTGCATGACACAGGTGCACTTACCTACATGCAGGCATAACACTCATACACATAAAATTTTTTAAAATAATAAATAAAATATTGAAGAAAAAAAAGAGCACTGGCTGCTCTTACAGAGGACCTGGGTTCGGTTCCCAGCACCCACATGGCGGCTAACAACTGTCCATAACTTCCGTTCCAAGGGATCTGACACCATCTTCTGGCCTCCATGGGCATTTCATGATACAAGTGCACTTACCTACATTCAGGCAATACACTCAAACACATTAAATAATATAAAAATAAAATTTGGGGGGCCGGGTGTTATAGTACACACCTTTAATCCCAGCACTTGGGAGGCAGAAGCAGGCGGATCTCTGTGAGTTCAAGGCCAGCCTGGTCTACATAGTGAGTTCCAGGACAGCTGGGGCTACAGGGAGACCCTGTCTCAAAAAGACCAAAAATAAAATAAAATAAAATAAAATAATTTTTAATTTAAAAAAAGGGATGAAGAAATGGCTCAGTGCTTAAGAGCTGTTGCAGAGGACTTCAGGGGTTCAGTCCCAATACGCACATCAAGCAGCTCACAACCATCTCAAACTACAATTCCAGAAGGTATGATGCCCTCTTCTGGCCTCAAAGGGCACCTGCACACATGTGGTGCACATGCATACATTCAAGCAGACACACACACACACACACACACACACACACACACTCACACACACACATATTTGCAGAAGGGTTTGTGACAGGGTCTCCCTGTAGCTCCAGGTAACCTAGAACTCATTATGTAGACCAGGCTGGTCTTGAACTCACAGAGAGCCACCTGATTCTGCCTCCCAAGTGCTGGGATTAAAGGCATGGTGCCACCATGTGTGGCTACATAAAAACATATTTTAAAAATAATAAAAAATAAAAACAAGGGTCACAGATGCAAAAGCCCTGAGGTGAGTCACACCTGTCGGGCAGACCACAAATTCTGATACTTGTTTCAGTTTAGTAAGTGACACTTGTACTGGCAGGAGGGGACACAGATGAAAGGGACCCAGAGCGGCTTCATTTCCAATGGTGTCTGGATATCACACTAATCCTCCAACAGGATCTCTTGTTAGCTAGGGTTGAAGGCCTGCTCTGCCACTCCCTAACTTGGGCCTTTGGAACAGTAACTTGTCTAAGTCTAAGATTTGTCTAAGTCATGCACACAGAGAAATTGGTACCAGAAGTGGGGTTATCTGGCCGGGAACAGGAACAGAGGTCAAATATACAGTCATTTATGCAAAAGAGAAAGAGGGGGCTGGAGAGATGGCTCAGCAGATAAGAGCATGAGCTGTTGCTCTTGCAGAGGACATGGGTTCAATTCCTAGCACCCACATGATGGCTAACAATTATCTGTAGCTCCAGTTCCAGGGACTCCAATGCCCTCTTCTGACCTCCAAGGGCACTGCATGACATAGGTGAACCTACTTACAGGCAGGCAATACACTATTCACATAAAGTAAAAATAGTAAATAAAAAAATTTAATATTTTTATTTTTTCTTATGTGTATGAGTGTATTGACTGCATGTGTGTAAGTGTACCCATGTTGTACAGTGCCCATGGAAGAGGGCTTCAGATCCCCTGGAACTGGAGTTTACAGACGGTTGTTAGCTGTCATGTGGGTGCTGGGAATCAAACCTGCTTCATCTGCACGAGCAGCCCATACTCTTAATTGCTGAGCCATCTCTCCAGCCCATAAAATATTTTTTAAAGAAGAGAAAGAATGAGAATTTTCTCACACAGAGCTTTCTCTAAAGATGAATTAAAATTAGTTCTATTTCCAAAATGTTTTCTTTCTAGTTCTACAACCCCACAGGATGCCTGGCTCCTCTTCTCCATCTGAGATTTGTATTCTCTCCTGGTCAATCTTCCTTCCAACTCTATTCCCTTCCTAAAATGTAAACATGACTCTACTTTAGCACCTGTCCCCTGCTTCATATCCTTCTATGGTTCCCTGGGGGCCCTCCAAACAACTTAATTTGGACACATTACCCAGCCCCTGTTGAGCTCTCTGTTGTGTGTTCCAGCCCCCCCCCCAGGTTATTCCATTGCACCTTGTCCATTAATCAACATGATAATTTCTCCAAAATTCTCCATTTTATATCACCTCTGGGCCTTTGCATGGCCTAGTAATAATACCACGTAACTTCCCAATCTTCACTGCCCACCCCCTCCCCCAATTCTCATATCCCTTTGCCTGGCTAACTTATTCAGGTCTTAGCTCAGATATTCCTTCCTCTAAGAATCCCACAATTTCATCTCCTCCCAGGTTAGTTCAGGTCCCTGCTCTCCATTTTCTATATCTCTAGGCCATCCCATCTCAGCTCTGCCTATTCTGTGTCTTAGCTCAGATATTCCTTCCTCTAAGAATCCCACAATTTCATCTCCTCCCAGGTTAGTTCAGGTCCCTGCTCTCCATTTTCTATATCTCTAGGCCATCCCATCTCAGCTCTGCCTATTCTGTGTCTTGCTGTCTAGTAACATCCCCTTTTCTCCTCTGCACTGTGGAGTCTCATAAAGGCAGAGAGCTAAGGTTGCAAGGGCAACTGAGACCCCCCAGCAGCATCAGCAGGGGGCCAGGCAACAGAGCAGGCAGCTCACCTGACTGAGGCCCAGGTGCTTGCTGACATTTTCCGACAGGTAAGCCATGTCTCCCTCGGCGGTGAGCACCATGACGAAGCCCTCGAGGGCCTTCAGGTAGCAGGCGTCCAGTGGCTCTCCCCCTGTTCCCACCTGGTTCCATTCCCCTGGTACCCGGATAGGGGAATGGGGCAGCTGTAGTCAGTCTCAGACCCATCCTAGCTGGCCTCCCTCCATCCTTCCTCACTCAGAGGGCCTAGTAGGAGTGCCCAAGTGAGTGGGCACACACAGCCTAGGGAGAAGGCAGAACCACCAAGCTTTGGAACCAGGATTATGGTCTGGGGGGGTGGGGGGGTGTGGAAGGGTATTCTCACAAGATTCTAAAACTGAACACTCATGAGATGAAATTCAAGGAGCCTGGGGGCAGTTGGAATTCTAGAGTTGTGGACAGGTTTCCTAGAATTCTTGGGGGGAAGGTATGGCCGTTGAGATGGCCAGAATTCTAAAACAAAACAGGGAATCCCAGAAGACAGGATTCTCTTACTATTTATTTATTTTTTAATTGTGTGTGTGTGTGTGTGTGTCTGTCTGTCTGTCTGTGTGTCTGTGTGTCTGTGTGTAGGTATATGCTCATGAGTGTGTTGCCTACAGAGGCCAGAAGAGGGTGTCAGATCCTCTTGGAGCTGGAGTTATAGGCAGTTGTAGATGCTGGAAACTAAACCTGGGTCCTCTGCAAGAGCAGCAAGTGCTATTATCCACTGAGCCATCTCTCCAGTCTTACCTTTAAGTTCTTTCAGATAAGTTATATCTACACTTCACAACCATGCACAGTAGATAGCATGATAATTTGAAAAAAAAAAGAGATGAAATTCAAGGAGCCTGGGGGCAGTTGGAATTCTAGAGTTGTGGACAGGTTTCCTAGAATTCTTGGGGGGAAGGTATGGCCGTTGAGATGGCCAGAATTCTAAAACAAAACAGGGAATCCCAGAAGACAGGATTCTCTTACTATTTATTTATTTTTTAATTGTGTGTGTGTGTGTGTGTGTGCATGTGAAGGTCAGAGGACAACTGACAGAATTTTAAAAGGGCAAAGTCTCCCCCAGAATTCAATGAGGGCAAGAGAGTTCAATGGGCAGAGCCTCATAATGAAAACTTTTCAAATTCCTAGGATTCCAAGGTGGGGGTGGGGGGGAAGAGAAAGCCTTCTGCAAAGTGAAACTGCATTCTGAGTGGCTCTTAGGAGGACAACCAATGGTTCTAGAGAAGGGAGATACAGAAAGTCGAGAAAAATTTTAAAATAGAGCAGGGCATGGTGACACACCCCTTTAATCCCAGCACTGAGGAAGCAAAAGCAGATGAATCTCTGTGAGATCGAGGCCAGCCTGGTCTATGCAGCGAGTTCCAGACCAACTGAGGCTTCAGGGAAATGCTGTCTCACAAAACAAAATAAAATAAAATTCATAAACAAAATAAAAATCGGGCTGTGGAGACTCCTGGGAGTTGGCGGCTATGGGAAGCTGAGGCTGGAAGATCAAAGCCTGCCTGGCCTACCAAGGAATTTCAAAACCAGCCTGGGCAACTTAGTGAGACCCTGGATCAGAAGAGACAGTAAAAAGAGGGCTGGGAGTATGGCTTACTGGTGGCATACCTGCTTAGAATCCAGAATTCCCCAGTGAGGGGCTGGGGGTGTGGCTCAGTGGCAGAGCACCTGCCTAGAGTCCCCCAGTGAGGGGCTTGGGCATGGCTCAGTGGTAGAGCACCTGCCTAGAATCTCCCAGTGAGGGGCTGGGGATGTGGTTCAGTGGTGGAGTATTTGGGTACCATGCCCCTTGGATCTGGGTTCAATTCCAGCCAAGCAAAAAACAAACACATAAATAAGGAGGCAGAGACTGGTGTCCTCAAGAACCATGCCTACAGGTTAAAAAGGCCTCTGGAAGAGCTAAGCAAGCTGGTCTCACTTAAGAATTCTAAGGGCTGGGACGTCCAACGGCACACTTAAATCTTGGGGGTCTCACAAAGGTTTGATGGCCAAGGGGAGGAGCCGTCCTGAACACTGGGCTCCGATTGGTCCAGCGCTAGAGGGAGCGGGTTCTCGCTCAGAGTGGATTCCAGTGTTTAGCCGGGAAAGACTTCCCTGAGGCTGGGCCTCCCTCCTGAGAGGGCGGCATCTTCCTAGGGAGGGGTGTTCGGGGCGCGGGGCTCACCTGCCGTGCAGAGGCGGTGCATGCGCAGGTAGCTGATGGTGAGGCGCATGATGGAGGCCTTGTCCAGGTGCGCGCTGACACCGCGCGCGAAGGGCAGCGTGTGCGCCAGCTGGTACAGCACCTCGGTCTCCTGGCTGCGCCGGCTGCGCGCCGCATCCCGGGACTTCTCCTTTCGCAGCTCGGTGCTCGACCTGTGGATGTAGGGGGGAGGGAGCATTCACGAGAGGAAATCGCACAGGACAGGTCCCGCGTGGGATGCTTCCATTTAGCTCCTAGGTCTCACTGTGTGGTCCCGGAGGCTTCCCGGGGCCTGGAAGCTTATCCGCTGGGGTCCCGCCTTGCCCCAGAGTTTACCTGTCCTGATGCCACTCCATGATGCCCTCCCTGCGGCGTATTGCTCTCTGCTTCTCTCCCAGGATGTGTGCCTCAGGCTGCTCTGCCCCCTCTCTGACTTATCTGCAGCTTGGTTCCCGAGCTAGGGGACGCCTGGAGGACAGGGAGGCCTCCCGGTGGGAGGGGGCTGGTGGAGCTGGCCCAAGTCCAGAGGAGGGATGGTTCACGGAGAGCCTGCAGCCTCCCAGGCCCCTTTGCCCTTCGGCCTCCCAGAGCCCCCTTCCCTACCCGTTTTCCTCCTCAGCCGGCACAGACTTGGAACATAGATATCTCAGAGTCTAACGACACACCAAAGGGGCCTACAGAGGGGCAGGGCCCCACCAGGGTGACACAGCAAACCCACTCTTGCCTTCTGCCCAGCACCTCAGCTCTTTAATCCACTTCAAATGCTTGACTTTTCCCAGTGGGGCTGGTGTGTCTGTGTGAGAACTTTGTCAGAAATATTAGTATCTATGAGTTATCCATTTTACTATTATGTCAGTTCCAGTGCCAAATGTCAAGTCCACTCAAAGCTTAGACAACCAGAGAGGAGGGTTTATAATATTATATAACATTATCTCCTTTGGTCAGAAAAGCAAGCTGAGGTGCTTGCCCAAAACATGGAAATCAGGATGTGAACACCAATCTGACTCTCACAATTTTTTTCTTTAATATTAATTTATTTTATTTTTTATTTTTTTATTTTTTTGGTCTTTTTGAGACGGGGTCTCCCTGTAGCCCCAGCTGTCCTGGAACTCACTATGTAGACCAGGCTGCGCCACCACGCCCAGCTCATTTATTTATTTTTATTTTATGTGTGTATTTTGCCTGTGTGTAAGTGCACCAGTGTCATGCAGTGCCCTCAGAGACCAGAAGAGGGCATTGGATCCCCTGGAACTGGAGTTACAGACTGTCGTAAGCCACTATGTGGGTACTGGGTATGGAACCTGGGTCCCTTGCAAGGGCAACCAGTGCTCTTAACCGGCTGAGCCATCTCTCTAGCCCCAACTCCATGGAGAGAGAGAGAGAGAGAGAGAGAGAGAGAGAGAGAGAGAGAGAGAGAGCTTTATAAACTGGCCTAGGGCTCACTATTTAGCCCAGGCTGCCCTTGGACTCCTAATTCTCCTGCCTCTACCTCCCAAGTGCTCGGATTACAGGTATGTGCCATGTGCCACCACACCTGGCTCATATGTCTGTTTTTCAGTAAAAAAAATTAAGTAGTACTGGGCATGGTGGCACACACTTTTAGTCCCAGCACTTGGGAGGCAGAGGCAGGCAGATCTCTGTGAGTTCAAGGCCAGCCTGGACTACATAGTGAGTTCCAGGATAGCTGGGGCTACAGGGAGACCCTGTCTCAAAAAGACCAAAAAAAAAAAAAATTAACTTGTATTGCATTTAGTCTTCTATATAGTCTTATTTATGCTTATAAAATTGCTAAAAATAATAAGCTATCAGTTGATCTTCCCTGTTGTGTATATCACATGTATTATGTATGTGAACACTCATTCTCAGCGGAGCACAAAGCAGACTTTACTTTTTTTTGAAACAGGATCTCATGTAGCCCAGGCTGGCCTCAAACTACTATGTAGCCAGATATGACCTTGGACTGCTGATCCTCCTGTTTCTACCTCCTGAGGGCAGAGATTACAGACATGTCATCATGCCAATGGGGGGGGCATTTTAAATTTCCACTTTACAAAGGGGAAACTAAGGCTCCAGAGTGCAGTCTTTTGTCCAAGAGGTCAACCCAGCCAGTACCTCGCTGAGCTGGGATTTGAATCCAGTCTGTGAGGTCCCAAAGGCCTTCAAGCTTTTCTTTAATCAACTCTTTGTAGAGCCCTCCCTCCTTCATCCCGCCAGGAAAGCAGACTCTAGAAAGGGAAGCCACTCTCTCCTAAACTCAGAGGAGCAGTGGGCCACTTCCAGGAGTGGGAGGGATACAAAACTTTTCCAGTCTTCCTGCAGAAGGGAGGGAAAAGAGCCTTTAACGCAAGAGGGTGAGAGGCTCGGAAGGGGGCAGGCTGGCCCAGCGTTGGAGGAGCCAAGGGGGCGCACCACCCCCTCCCTCTTGGCTGGTGGGGGCAGGGGCCTCAGTCCTGCCTGCCCAGAGGACATTCCGTCCTGTACTGTACTGTTCCAGCCCTGTTTGTCTTCCTGCCCAGAGGGTGGGGGTGGGCGGGCCTCACTGAGCTGGGGGCCCTGGGACCGAGGGAACAGGGAGCAGGAAGGAGAACCGGGTGGGGGTGAGACCAGCGCCCCACCTCCCAGACTGCGGAGCAGTGTAATCCTACTCTCCAGTGCCTATATAGCGTAGCTGGGTTTCTTCCTCCATAGATGGGGTCAGCTGGTGGCTGGAGAAGGGACCGCGCTTCCCTCTCAGCCTGGTCTCCGGATGTTCTGACGGGAAGTATGGGCCTCTCTCACTGGTTTTCTGGTCCTGTGGTGAATCAGAGCGCCGGGCCCTGCCTCGGAGTCAGGGTTCCAATTCTGACACCAATGCTCATTAGCTGTGTGACTTTGGTGGGCAAGTTGCTCAACCTCCTTGCACAGAGTAACAGCATCCACCTCCTCTTAAGGTGGTTTTTGTTTGGGTTTGGGGGAATATGAGGTGGGGTTGAAGACAAAGTCTCACTGTGTAGCACAGGCTGGCCTGAAACTTGTGCTCCACCTGCCTCAGCCTCTTTCCTGAGTGCTAGGCTCACATGCCTGCCATTATCATGATCCACTCTTATGGTGGTTTGAAGATTAAATGAGTTAATAATGTCAAGCGCTTAGGAAGCACGGGTTAGCCATTGGTTAGTGTCAGGAATGAAGGGTTCCAGTTTAGGAGTCCCTTGTACCCTGGAGTAACATGTGGCTCTATGAGTGTGGAGTTATTCATGCATGCAATTGTATGTGTGTGGTTATGAGTGTGTAATTGCATGCACAGTACTCAATCAACTCAGGAAGACTGAAATCTGATAGTGATAAGGACACTGCTGGTGTATTTCACACTCGGAAGCCAACACACTTTTGCATCCTTACTAAGAGGAAACTTGGTCTCCCTAATTTAAAAAGAGAAATTTCGAGCTGGGTGTGGCGGCACACATCTTTAATCCTAGCGCTGCAGAGGCAGAGGCAGGTAGATCTGTGAGATCCAGGCCAGCCTGATCTCCATAGAGAGCTCCAGGCCAGCTGGGGCTACAGGGAGACCCTGTCTCAAAAGACCAAAAACCAATCAAACAAACAAAAAACCCCACATGGTTGAAGGAGAGAACAATTTCCTGTAATAAATGTAACTTTTTTTTTTAAGGTAGAAACTTAGCTAGGTGTGGTGTCAAACACCTTTAATCCCAGCACTGGGGAGACAGAGGAAAAGGCAGGCAGATCTCTGTGAGTTCAAGGCCAGCCTGGTCTATATAGCAAGCTCCAGGCCAGCAGGGGCTACACAGTGAGATGCTTTTTTCGATACATAGTTCAGTTGATAGAGTGCTTGCCTAACAATACACACTACCGCACCAACAGGGTGTGGTGATGCACTCCTCTAATTCCAGCTCTGGGGAGATGGAGCAGGAGGGTTCAGAGTTCATAGTCATCCTTGTGCAAAAATTTCCAGGTCAGCCTGGGCTACATGAGACCTTGTCTCTCAGGGAGCAACTGAGGCTCAGAGCAATTCCCCCTCCCCGTGGCCCATATTAGCCAGTTGGTAATCCCCAAACCCTCATCTATTCACGCTCTACTCTGCCCTGCTCCAAGGCTTCTCAGTATCCTGCTGTACATGCACCTAGCACCCATAACTGCTGAGGAAGCATCCTTCCTGCTGAGGAACCAAGCTCTGAGGTGATGGAATTGGCCTTCACAATGTTTTCCAGCAGAGCCAGGTCTGTTTACTTCCAGCACAAGAATTCAGTTTACTGTATCCCTATGGGGTGTCCTGCCCCCCGCCACCTGTTTCCTCACTGGGACTTCCCTGACTCTCATTATCCAGGATTTGAAGTTGGGGCCCAGAGAGACAAGACCACAGAGACAGGGAGTGGAAGCACTTGGATTTGAACCCCAACTTTTGGGCCTGTGTTCTTAAATGCCATGCCTGGGGAGGGTGTGCCCACCACCCAAGGGACCCCTGCCCTGCTCCTTTTTGCCTAGTGGCCTTAGTTCTTTCCTAGTGATCCCAGTGCTGCTGCCTCAGAGCTCCCTAGCTGGCCCAGTGCCCAGCCCTGGTTCAAACCCTTGGCGGTGTGCCCAGCTTGGGACGTGCTGCTGGAACCTTGCCACCCTTCCTCCGGGTTCTAGCCGAGAACATAGGGTGGAGTCAGGGGGCCCCAGGGTGAGGCCTGGGAAGGGGGTGGGGTGGGGTGGGGCCCAATGCCCCTTTAGCCAGAGAGAACCCCATCTCTTCCCTTGCCTCCACCCTGAAAAACTTGGGAAATTAGAGAGCCCTCCTCTCCCGTTTTGGGCTACTTTTGGGTTTCTCCTCTGATTCACAAATGGGTATTGGGGGGCTTGCAAAAACTGTAGAGAATTTGGGATGTGAGGAAGGCTTAGATTTTTATCTGGGCAGAGACTCCTTTAGAAATTACCTGGAGGTGGCCAGAGAGGCCAGGGGCAAGGTTTGGGCTGGAGAAGGGACTTAGGGGTGATGATTGGGGGAGTCTCTCTGACCATTCGGTTAGTTCTCAAAGGTATGGTCATTCGATCATTTACTGGGATGCCAAAATTCTGTCTTTTGGAAGAACGCCTGCTCCTGGTGGGCACTCAGGGCAGTGAGTGCCCCGGTTTCCCAAGAACACTCTGCACAGGGTAGGATGGCTGGAGCCTGGGAGCTAAGAGAAGGAAAAGAGGGGTGGGGGACATGGTGCAACAGGGAGCAGCATGCCACTCACCATCACTCAAGCCCCCTTTGACAGAACTGCCATCCTAGGGGTCCAGGAGGGGCCTGGAGCTCAGCCTGGAGGCGGGTGCGAGTTCTGAGTGGGTGTGCGGCAGCATGAAATGACACCACAGGAAAGGGCTGGACTTGGGTGACTAGCGGGGAGCACCCCAGCCTCTCACACAGCCAAAAAGGGGTTGCTGTCAAAGGGCGTCGCCAGGGCTGGACCAGAAGGGGGTGTGGATGGAGTTCCCTGGTGGGCCCAGAGCCAGAGCCAGAGATTGGATAGAATCAGAGAAGGGGAGCCTGAGATGGGTTAGGAGTGAAAACAGAGATGTGGCAGCAACCAGTCAGACCTGGAAAGCCAAGGA